AGTCAGCAATAAAACATATATATATATATATATATATATCAAATGGCAGACGTCTTGATGCTTATCATTAGCCCATCAGTTGACTTCAGGCTTCACAGAGGGGAAGGAACATCAAATTGAAAAAAACTCGAGAGGGAGTGGGAACAGAAGATTGTTTCAAAGATGTAAGAGACAAACACAAAGGTAGAAAAAAGGTGAGGTGAGTACTGTGAAAGTAGTCGAATATAACATACAGTGGGGTGATGGTAGTTTGAAAAGGGAAGTCAACTGCCAGTTAATAGACTGTTTTGCCGTATGAGTATACGTTGCCCAGGGTGCACCACGTGGAGGTAAGTCTATCGCACACCCCAGCAATAAAACATAATGATGAGGAAAATTAATTTCAATAGTCAATTAATGCTGGTACCGAAATTGTTCAAATTTCAATAAATTTTCACTTTTACTTTGTATTCCAACGTAACTCAGCCAATTGGAGAAATCTATTTGCATCTTTTGGTGCATGACCTAGTTACTTAATTCAATTTCAATTCGTATCCTTTGCACGATACTTAAAATTTTCGACTAGTCCTCTATACATCCAATGACATCCAAGAGGGTATTAGTAGAATTTTTTGCCACTTCTTTGTCGACTTTGATTCCATTTTGTATGAAGTTTTCAATTTCTTACTGTGATTAAAATATCTTCACCGGTGCTGTATTTCGGTACCAAGTTAATTGAAGTATGCACTTTCACCTTTAAGATATACCTCAACGGACAGAAACTCTGCCAACAGAATCATCTGATTCCACTTCCTCAAATTACCCACCTTTCCATAGACGGTGATGCTGATTTTACAGGAGTAGAATTTAAGGATCTTCTGAGTGAAAACGAAGGCTCACTAGGTAGCGACTACAATGAATTCAACGAACAAGTGGCTGAAGTGACTCCAGGATTCCTTCGCCTGTCAGAAAATCGTCGGTCTTCCAACCGCAAGCCGAAACCACCTGTCGTGGTAGCAACACACGGAAGTTTCCGAGCAAGGCCAACTTTGGCAACAACTTTAGAGGAGCCAGATACATATATGAATGCTCGAGAAGATGTAAATATCGTGACGAGAACAACTCATGAATCTGTACATGCATATGCTGATCAAAATGTATCAGGGGCTAGAACAAGTGGATCTGCCTCAACTCTCCCCAAAAGAATGAGCGGCGGTAGCTATGGTTCATCAAAAGCAAGTCTTCGTGATAAACTCCACCTTAAACGAGGCTCTAGAGCATCTGTACCTATATCAGGAAATGAATATGCCAATCCAGCAAGCGTTGAAGATGTGTGGGTTGAAGAAGGTGGCCCGGAATATAGCGCTGATGGCCCAGCGGTTTTAGCAGCATCAGTGCCGAATCTAAGCAGTCAACCAGATAAAGGCAAAGACAAGAAGTTACTTGGCCACAGTGGGCATAGCAAGAAACATCATTCAACTTCGTCTCCCCCGGCTGAGGAAAAAAAGAAAGGCCATGGAGGATTCCATTTCGGTAGAGGAAGCAAAAAGGAGAAGGAGCCGAAACCCGAGAAAGAAAAGAAAGAGAAGAAATCACTATTTGGAAGGAAGTCATCCAAACACGGTTCAAATAAAGACTTATCTACAGTTGAAAATGTTGTGGTTATACCTGAACAGAGTACTGTCAACGAATATGCTAATCCCGAACCTTCTTCAGAGAAACGTACTCTGGCTAAGATTGCAAGGACTGCAAAGACATCGCCTCCATCCCCTCGGAGCTTATCAAAGAGCTCTTTGAGGGGCAGCCATGGAAAAGGTTCTTATGACATTCAGGAAGCTGAAAGAAATTACCAATTTCAAAGTGGAACTTATCAGAGAGCTTCTGAAGGAGCTGCTTATGCTAATGTTGATGAGGCTGTTGTTGTAGCCTTGGTTACAGATCAGGAGCAAAAAACGAAGCTCAAGGGAGATTCCTCTAACATCGCTTCTGATCTCTTGTCAAGTAGTGCAAAATCAAAAGGCACGGTTGAATTCTTCACCGAAAACGACCCATATTTGAGTATTCCTCTGCATCTTGAAGATGCTTCAATACTGGAAGCCACAACTAATGATGCCGTACTCTTATCTCCTAAAGAAGAGCATAAGAAGAAGGAAAAACTGAAGGGATCTTCAGCGGAAATAGCTAATGACCTAATTGGCAATACCCCTACACTGTCAAATGGAATTGAAAACTATATTGGAATTCACGTAGTGGAGCCACTGATTCTTACTCAAGATAGTATTTTATCTGTTTATGGAAAGTCATTTTCTCCAGTCCCTGGGGTTAAGGAATCATATGACCTTGAAAAAGTTCCTGAGTCCCCAACTGACAAATACAAGCAACTTGAAGATTCCACTTGGGAGATAAAGCCAGCTATTCGTGAAAATGTGGAAACGTCGAACGTTCAGCAATCGAAACCTCCGAGAGATAACGTGGAAGTTGGAGAAGTCTCTGTCAGTGAAACGTCTGGATTAACAAAGAAAGAGAAAAAGAATCTTCTCAAAGGCGATTCGGCCGAAATCGCTTCAAATCTTTTCGATATAGGAAGTGCTAAAGTTCTAGGAATTACTTCTCTCGATGGATATCCTGTATGTGGTACAAATGGTTACCATCTGCCTTTAAAGATCGATGCCTCAAATAGAGATGCGCAGCCGATTCCTTATGGAATTGCCTCACAAAAATATACTCAACGTTTGAGCAGCAGAACCAGTGCTGGAGGCGTGGAGCAAGAAAGAGCTGCCACCATGCCAGCCGGGACTGTTGTTATGCGAGAAGGTGAAAAGGAGAAACATCACAAACGTGATCGTGTGTCTGGATTTTTCAAGAAAATGTTTAAGAAGAACAAGAGTGGTAAGTGTTATTGGGTATTTTTTTTCGAGCTAAACTATAATTTCTTAAGCGGCAAACAAAGTGTACGAACGAAGGTAGGCCACGGAGCCAATTGAAGCTTATTTTCACTTTTTTTGTTTGATAGTGCCATGTAAATGTCCACCAAATCTGGCATCTACCAGTACTTAAATTACGTGACGGAATCTTACGGCATGGGTCATTTCAGTGTATGAAATGCCAGTAATTTTTCAATTAATGGCAATCAAATTGACAGCTTTGTAAGCATTTAATTAATGATAGTGGAGGGATTATTGAACGATCCCATTTTTTTGACAACTAGACGTGCCCTGAAGAAAGATATTCTCTTGGTGACTTTCCACGTGGAATAGTCATCACGATTTCTCCCTGAACGGTTTTCGATAGGGTGTCCAAGAAATTAATTAAATTATAAATTGTACAAGAACACATTAGATATGTTAGAAAGCATTATTACACCTTATAATGAGCTTCCATTGAAACGGATGCATTCCTGCAAGGTATTAATGAGTAGCATAGTGCAATCGTTCTATTGAAAAAATAAATTTTGTGAGTCTATACGCATTATAAGAAATGAGAAATAAATAAGTCCATTCTCACAGAGGAATACTGCAAAAAACACAATAGCCTTCTTGATCGCAACTACTTAGCTTTAACATGAAGCCGAGTTTAATCCTAATATCTTTGATTTGTTCCAACTTTAGAAGGATCAGTGAGTGAAGAGGAATACGGCGTAACAGAGGGGGTTGGAACAGAGGCAGAGATGATGGAATTCAGAACCTCTTCACAGCAGAGTTACGATTTTGATGGACAAGAGACTAATTTCACTGTCACAGCCTCGCCAAGTGAAGTGTGTCTCTATGCGTCTCAACTCCGTGGCAATAAGCCCGCACTGAAAAGTAATACTGACCTCCATACAATGTGTGGTTATGGTCTCTTCCGGGTTCCTCTTACCTTAACTGCTGCACACATCCCTGCTGATATAAGCACGGCTGGATCTCGTTATACCTTTGGTGTATTTCCTTCGGATAAATACCGTCGAGAATCGGTTTCATCTTATAGTTCAGAATCGTCTCATGGCACAAGACGCCACATTAAACGTCATGAGGTTTACCGATACAACTCCATGGACTCCATCTCTACATGGAGTTCAATTACTCCAAGAGGCAGTCGTCATCACTATCGTCGATCAGAACGTCACAGACCCCAATCAGTATCGTCGTGGAGCTCGATTTCGCCGAATGGAACGTACAGACACCGCAGACGAAGTGAAATTTACGCTATTAATGGAACTGAAAATATTCAAAATGTGGATGCTAGTAGAGTGCAAGCCGCCGCCTATCCTGACGAAGGCTCGGCTCACTCCTCCCATTCTTCCATTCCTAGTCTCTATGGTCGTGTTGTAATAATTGGTCAAAGTCCAGGTTTCCGCGAGCGAATACAATCATATCGAAAGCGAAAGGAAATGGCCAAGAAGAATAGACGGGACAGCGGCTCAAACAGCTCCATTTCTTCTATCGCATCAGACAGGCTCCCGCCAGCTGTTGTTAAAGTGCGAGGTGGGGAATTCGCCACCTTTGAAGATGCTGGACCAACAATTTTTGAACAGAGATCCCAAAGAAGAGAGGACGTTTACGCCAACAGTAAGTGTTTATTCAAGTTCGTACTCTTAAAATGTGCTTGCTTTTTTTCCAACTTGTCATCTAATATACGTATTTTCTCTCCCTAGATACAAGGTTATATTGAAATCGCCTCTACACGGACTCCAACTTCCATGATTGCTGTGTACCAACGCATTCCCTTTCAAATATCAGACAGAATAGAGAGATGTCGTCTCTGAGTTTTGACTTTTGTTTTTGATTTTTCACCCTCTCTTTACTCCGCACAATAAAGCACTATTGCGTTTCTTATAAACTTCCAAAATTTCTAATAAGAGTTGGAAAGGCCATTCCATTCTCCACTCCTTGGTCTTGTTCATCCACTTTCCCTCCCAACCCTCCCCAACCCCCACCCCCTCTTCCTGTGTTTCCCAACTGGAATCCCAGGATTTGACTCTGCGCTTTCTTTCAAGGTGTTTTGTGATAAACGTCCACCTTCCATTCCACATCATCTTCTGATTGTGTATTTTCAAATGCAATAGAAGCAAATACATTATTTTATCTTACATAATCATCTTTTGTTAAGTAGGGTACTTCTGCCGTAGAGGTCGACTTGTAGTTGGTTCGTTTGCTCCAAGGTGCCTCTTGAACCAAATATATATTATTGTAAATGTGAATCAAAAGTAGTACAAATAGGAGCATACAAAGTATTCAACAGTTCTCTGAAAGTTTTGAAAGTGTACTGAGAAACCTTTGCCAATTTATTGACGTGATTTCCACATTCCTATTACGGATGATCATGTTCAACTCTTCGCTGTCGTTTTGCATTGTCAGTAGATTTTAATATTTCCATCACTCTTACTTTGCTTCAACATGTTCTGGCATGACTTTCGTTTTTTGACCGCCTATCTATGATGATAGAGACATTTGATTGATTTCAGTGAACAACTTAGCAGAGTCTCGTGAATACGTTGAATACTTGCCAGGGAGCAGAGTGAATGCGCACAATTACGTTTGGCTTTAGTGATTTAACCTGTAAGCCTAACTTTAGCTCTCATTTTCCGGAAAGCACTTCTATCAGGAGCAGTAGCCCATCTCCAACCTAATTCGACAGGACCATATTCAAAAGTGCCATTTTACAAGGGACAAAAAAACTCTAATCACAATGTGGTCTCTGGACACCACGTGAGTCCACCCAACTATCCGAAACCCCTTTCAGGGTCACGTAGAATACGAGGCCAATTTTTGTGCCGGCCACGCTCTAGTTTCTGTTTAAAACTGGAATCTGTCAAGTTTCCGGAAGCGTTGAGGACCAGAACATCGATAAACTTAATGGGAAACTGAGAGAGAGTGTGTGTGTATGTCTCTTTAATTGTTCCTATCGAGAAAAAGACACAAATACGGCGTCTTAGAGTTGAGTCACTTTAGCTCTCTAATAAAATAACGGAAAATATTTTTGTGTGAAACGGAGATGATTTGTTGCGAATTTATGCTAGAGAAGTTGCGAAGTAGATTGAAACTGCATTGTTTCTGTTTGCAATAAATCCTACCTAATCCCAATCAATTGAGCCCTAATGTTCAAACTCCTTATTGGCAGTTTTGTGAAATGAGTCATGAAAATGCATTAGGAGGTAATAAATATGCAATCGATAAGGTACTTTACGTCACGTTGACTATTTTGTGGGCTATTAAAGCGATGATATTCACATTTAACCGACGATACGACGAATTTTGTGATTTGGAATGATTCACTGTAAGCAGGAGGCACTTGGAAGTTCAAACTTTCGAAAATCTTCAACGAAGATATTATTATTATTTCAAATAGCAGACGTTTTGAATAGTTATCATTAGCCATTTAGCTGACTTTGGGGTTCACAGAGGAGGAACATCAAAGTTGGGAAAATTCGAGAGGGGGAACAAAGGAGTGATTCACAGATGTAGAAGACACAGACAGACACAAAGGTAGAGAGGAAAAGGTAAGATGAGTACTGTTGAAGGGGTCAAATATGACATACAGTGGGGTCATGGTAGTTTGAAGTCAGAAGTCAACTGCTGGTTAATAGACTTTTTGCAGTATGAGCATACGTTGCCCAGGATGCACCACGTGGAGGTAAGTCTATCGCTATGAGAATATCAAATAGTAACAAATTGTGATAACTGATACTCGTATAGTGTTAGAAAACACTGAACTTTTACGCCTATTGGGATTTAAAGTTAATGGTTGATTACTGACTTGAATGCATAGCATCATTTATCATTTCGATACCGTTAACAGTAGAGCTTTGACCTGATAGTTAGAATAATGACAAATTTGCATTAATTCGATTTAGGGAAAAATTTAAAACAGTATTATACGCCAATTGCCACATTTGCATTTATTGGCTGATCAGAAAGGCGAGGGATTTCATTGGCCCTAGTTGCATGAGGTCAAGCTTTGGTTTGAATTTCGCAGCAGAGGAGGTAATGGCTGGAAGAAAATATTTACCAAGTGGGAAAAATACCCACACATGAAGGATAACTAGCAGTAGAATAGTTGAGAAATTGGAAAAGAACTGCATGATTAAGTTAGCAAAGTTAGTTGAGGGTCCACCTGCCTAGGTTTAAATTTGTTTGCATTATGTCCATCATTTTACCCGACTTATCAATCGATAGACCTAATGACATGGTTTAAAATGCCTTCCACTTCTTGCCCATCTGCATGAGTTTCAAATTTACCAATTTGTCCTGCCAAACTGACAGCGACAATTATACACATAACTGATTCGTGGGCGATGGTTGGTTCAAACAGAAACGAAATCGTTTCCATTCCTAAGATTTCACCAACCAACATACCTTGGAGCTAATTTTGTCAGCCTGACTCATTGCTGTCAAATGGTTTGAAGGATTTAATTGTTTGGTTTTATAAGGCAAAAGCATATTTTTAGATGATTGTGTTATAGGCACAAATTTCCTAATCTCAGAAATTCTATATTAATGTGAGCACAACTGGATGTCACGAATTTGAAATTGTCACTATTGGAATTCCAATTAAAAGAACAATATATCAAAATTTCTCTTTATCGGAAACGCAAAAATCAAGCATCAAACGTGTGAAAGCTTGAAGTTACAATGTTTGTAACCTTGGCAACAATTGTAATATGAATCTCAAGAGTGTTAGAGGGATTTCTCAACTTAAAACAAAGTGTCTATTTAACGAAAGTACAAATCAACAATTAATAATACAAAATTAAAATAAATTTTTTTGGTTTTTCCAACTCTGCTAATCTAAGATTGTAAATGTGACATAATGGAAAGAAAATGGAATGGAACCCCAAATCGAAAATCAATTGTTGCATTGATTCCTAATGCATTGACTGTACTCTCAACACCCCCTCCCCCCCCCACCCCAAACCGTGAATTTTTTATTGATTTTATCGCTAATTAGTTTCATTTATTTCTCTCTCAAAATGAATTTACAATTTTCTGCCTTACAGTTCTATTAAAAATGAGCTATTTCAAATTTAAGGAAAGGTCTTAAACTGATTTAATTGTAAACTACTTGATCATTAAGAACAATTGTTGCCATTTTCGTAACTTGGGAACTCGCCACAATGACTTAGAAAGTAAATGTATGATTACTTGATTGTGTTCCATCTTCTTTTGACTAGTAATAACGCTTTGGATAGGTAAGTGAGCCTCAGAGCTCATACAACTTAAGTGCCCGGGATCAAAATATGTACTGAACAAAGCTTTAATTTAATTTAAATTTTAATTATTTGCCTCAACATTTAGGCCGCTAAAGATCTCTTAATCCCATTTTGTCTCCTCATCAAGACCGATTTCTCTTTGTTTCAATTCCAGCCAGCAGGTAGACGTCGATTTGGGCAATCCAGTGCAAAATTCATGAACTGCGTTACATGGGTAATAGAAAACGGGAATTCTAAAGTGTACTGTTGTTCAAAAAGACCTATGAGTTAATATCAACCTGATGGCCTGAATAGTAATTAAAGCACCTCAAAGTATTAACTGGTCAATGACCGCTGAGAAAGAGGTGAACTAAATTTCCTCAGGAATTCATAAAACGCAATATAACATTCGAATCTGAAACATAATACGCTTTTATACCCAATCAAATTCATTGAAAGTACTAACTTAATAGTCAATTTCTCGGCAGCTTTCCCTTGTTCCTTATTGCGCAACTTTGAGGAGTTTGAATGTCATTGGTTAGTTGAAAGTCTGTTCTTCTGTGGGCCAGTAAAGGTCGGTTTGGAGAGTAGATCACAGTTGATTACATATTCAATATCAATTTCATAACGGTTTTCCAGTAAGTCTAATGGGAAACAGCAACTTGCCAACTCTCCACAGGTCCGAAGTTGACAACTGTGGGGGACGGAGAAGGAAAATTAGGAAAAATCAATAATATTGATTGGAAACGTGAATGAGAACAAAATTTTGTTTCAAAAAAGTGGAATAGGAGCTATTTCAAACGGTATAAAAGTGAGTTGGGTAGGGAAAGTTTATTCGTCTTTCATTCTTTTTCCATCAAAAAAGCTATTCTTTTCTTATTCAGAATTGGACAGAGTTTTTTTAATTAACATGGAATAACAAACAGTCACCTTCTAGTTAAACTTACCTAATTTTCATACATCAATGTCTCCTCTAGTTTAGTCAAGTAAGGTAGTCCATTCTCCGAACACTATTGCATAACCTTTGAAGACTCCGCTAATTCGCAGGATGGCATCCAAGTGCATCCTTCCTCATCGACCGAATGTCTTCACTTTGTTAAATCGGAGCCTGTTGTTTCTCATGCATAAACTAAAATGAGGAAAAATTTTGGTGAATAAAACTAGACCATATTTTCGTCAGAGGTGTTTCTGCAAATTTCTCTACCCCC